AGAGAGAGAGAGAGAGAGAGAGAGAGAGAGAGAGGGTGTATGGGGATGGATAGACAGATAGATAGACTGGAGCAGAATCTATCCATCCCCACACACCCCCATCTATCCGGATTAAGTATAAAGCCCCTTACTTCCCACACCTCTCTTCTAACCGCGCTTGGGCAAGGCCTGGGTGGGAACCCGGGGCAGGAGAGAGCCAGCTGCCTGCTGCCAGTGCCACATTTGAACCTGGCCTGGAGGGTTACGAGGGCAGCACTGTAGTGGGCACGGCCGGCCTTGGCAGCTGGGAGTGCTGAGCTGAAGCCCCAGTTCTGGCCCTGACTTTCTTTGTGGCCTCTCCACCCCTGAAGTGGAGATAGCGCGTCTCTCTGCCTAGGAATTTATACCGTGTTCATCCCTGTTGTATAGAGAGATTCCTGCAAACCTACCCCAGGAACCTCTGGCAACATCTGTAATGTCAAGTAAGTTCCATCTACTGTAAGTGCGAAGTCCTATGCATTTCCAAGGGTCTCCTCCCTGGCAGCTTGGACTGACGTTGGCTCGGTACCTGGCATGTCCCAGCAGCGGTAGAGTTCTCCACCCTTTTCTCTTCTGTGGCTTTTTATCAGTGGTCAAACCCTCTGAGGAGCCAGGACACTCTGCCATCCCTTAGGCTGGTTCTGCTGGTGGATGCAGAGAAATGTCGGTCCAGCGAGAAAAGGGAAGACATCAAGAATGAAATGACACAATCCTTCCTACACCTCTGTAATTAAACTCTCTGGTGTTGGGCTTGCCTCTGAGATATTTTCTGCTTATCTTATCCTGAACACCCTGGTCCAGTTCTGGGAGAACACTTCATCCAGTTCTCTGGCATCCATCAGCTCAACTCTCCGCTCCTCACTGAGGTTTCCTCATTGGCATTCAATCAAACTACACTTGAGTTGTTCAGGCTGAAGTGCAGGGGATGGGTACAGGGTACACCACACATCCAACGTACATAAGCTTATCTATACACTTGCATTTAATACTATTGGTTCACACATCGTATCATACTTTATGATTGGTCTACCAGTGTTTGTAACCAATCCCTGTACAGATCATGAACTTGTCCACGATCTGCAAAGTATGCTAGTAAGCAAAGCTGCGGCTCCCAGCTCATCACACATTACCCTTCTTACTAGTTGTTTATCTACTAACTACGTTATTTACAAGGCCACTTGTGAGTTTAGGCGTTGTCCATTGCTAACCTCTGTGTCCTCACATCTGTTTTCTTTCATTATTCATGCAAGGCCTACACCTGTTGGAAAGGCCTACATCCTTCCTGGGGGCACAGACCTTGCATTGACCTTGGCTGTGGGTTGGCTGGGAGCTCACTTGAGTGTAAAGGCAAAGCATCAGTCACTCTCATGTCATATGCCACTAAGGAGGTAAATATGTTTCGCATTAGTTCAGCTTCCCTTGTCTGTGGGCTGGGCCGAGACAAGACAGTACCGTCATTTCCAGGCCCACATGGGGCTGGGCACAAAGGAAGGCCAGTTCCCCTGACAATAGTCCTTGGCCATCTTGGGCTAGCTACTTACTTACACATCCAGGCTTTAATTTTAGAGCAGTTGCTTAGAAGATCAGATCAGATGTGTTCGTCCTGAGAGAGAGGCCTTGGTGGCTCTTGGCAGGAAGGAAAAGGCTAGCTGGAGATTGCTCTCCTCCCGTCTTTGGAGGACCAAAGATGCCTTTACTAAATAAAATGCTGCAGCCTGGCTTGTGCACTGGTGTGTGGGTGGAGGGGGAGCACATGTCTGGCCTCTGCAATCTCCACTTCCACTGGCAAGCATGCGCCTTAGAGCCCCACCTGGTGATTTACACCTTGCCCTAAAGAAGAGAAGTCATTCCTGGATGCTGAAGGTGCAGGAATAGTCAGAAAACCAAGTGACTCCAATAGAAATCAGTGACATTGTCCAATGTGCTGACCTATACTTTGGGTAGGAAAATAATCTCATTAACATCTTTCTGTGACCTGGTGCTGGGGAGTTCACGCTGGGTGTGTTTATGCCTGAAGTTTACTCCTTTGCTTTTGCCTCTGTATAGATTTCAAGAGAGTTTTATTGCATGTTTGGAGGGAGACCAGGCGAGCTTGAGGGGAAAGGGCCTTTCCACCATGAGAATGATACTCACAGCACTCAGTATCAGAGCTTGAGTGGCTGCGGATTTACACAGAAAGGTCAGTGATGCTTGTGGATGGAGAAAATGGAGCTTTGATTTCTACCAGATTTATACAATGGTCACCAGGTTTAGCACAGAGATGGGCAGCCAGAAGGAAAAGTCTGAGCACCTGTCACATCCCCTGGCACCCTGGGACACCCTCACTTCTCCTCTGTGGGGTAGTTCTGAGTTTTCAGTTGTTTAGTGGCTAGCACCATCTTGTGGTGGAAGCATTTAATGGCTACATCTGGGATTCACCATGATAGGATTCAGGGGACTGTTCTGATCTGCCATATCATAGACCTGTTCTGAGCAGACCATGTAAGTGCTGCTGGCCTAGCAGGGAGTGTGGTCAAATACATCCCTCTAAAACATACAAACAAAGGTTTATTAGAGACATGATGGAGGCAAGACCCAGGGGCGTCAGCATGGGAAAAGCCTCCATTTCCCCGTCCCCAGCTGGAAAGGGCAGGCCAACTCAGCAATGAAAGGGTCCGGTTCTGAGCTTTAGAAGGAAATGGAGTGACGTAATAATGATCATCTGATGCTCTTCAGCCTGGAGATTTAATGTCAGAGGCTCCTGGAGTGAGATTTAACCAGCGGGGCCCCGCGCTCTGGCCTGCCTCATTTGTTCCACATGACATTTCCTCAGTGCAAGGGGCTGCTCCAGAGCTAGTCCTCTGCAGCTCACGGCTGCCTTGGATCTGGTTTGTGCCTGCGAGGGAGATCGTCCTGCTCCCGAGCGAATGACACAGGGGTCTGCAAGGCCAGCTCAGAACGGAGAGATGCTCAGCAAAGGCCTGCAGGCTTCCATGGAGGGACTCCGAGGTCACACCTAGCCGCTGGGCTCTGCTCTCTGCAAAACCAAGCCAGGTGCTGCCAGGCCTGGGCAGGATCAGAACCACCTTCAGCAGCTCCACAACCAGGCTCTGAGTGGGGTGTTGCCTCTGCAGCTCTGCCGTCCCTCTCTCGTGTCCCATGGGCAGTGCAGTGACCATCTTCTCCATCCTTTGTGGGGCCTTTGCCATGGCCAGCACCATCACCTCGCTCTGCACAGACTGTTGGCAGGTAATATACACTTTGGTGTCCTTTCTGTCCCATTTGGTAACTGAGCTATGCAGACCTCCATGCTGAGGCGGGCTCCCTGGCTGGTGAGTGCACTCACATGGGGCAATGCAGCATCCAACTCTCCTATCTGCCCTGGGTCGTCATGTCTAGGAAATGCTCAGAGCAGCATGAAACCCCCCAGCATCTGCTCTGACAAACATGCCACTTACATCAAAGAGGAGCTGTCAATTCTAGCCAGGTTCTTATGCCGGGCCCATCCCCATGGCATCTGAGCACTTCCCTCGCTCCCCTGAAGAATGGGGCTTGTTGGGAATTTACGCAGACTCTGGTTTGGTGTAATTCACCGGGGCGCCCCAGACAGCGCATTCAGAGCAGAATGAGGGTGGTGAAGCTGGAGCAAGGAGGCTTTGCTGCCCTGGAATCTCTCCAGCCGAGTCCTTGAATGAGCACTGCACGCTGGGCACTGAGCTCTGCGGAAAATCTGGCCCCAGTTGGTGGTGCTGAGCATCGAACTCTGGGCCCCACAGGAGCAAATTACAATGACCAGTCAAACGCCGCTACTGACCAGAGCTGAAGAGTTTTGTTGGCAAACGGGGCCTAGTGCTTTCCAGAGAGCATGGCATCTAACGCCCATACAGGTGCAAGAGAGGCCCTTGGGGAGGCCAGGGTCTGAGGATGGTAGAGGAGAGGGTTAGGATAAGAGCAGGGTGTCTCGTATAACAGGACGGAATAGTCCAGGGGATGGGGGAAATGGGATTACACTCTCTTTCTCTCTCCTGGTGAGAGCAAACCCCGATGCCGAGCCATGCCCTGGGCGGCTGTACTGTACAGCAGGATACTACGCCCCAGGACTTGCGCCTTCTCCCCTCTCAGATTAACAGCAAAGGCTCAGTTGTTCTGAGCACCCGGTGCCGTGGCCTCTGGAGAGAATGTGTCTGGGACAAGTTTGTGAAGATCTGGACCTGTGATGTTTTCAGCTCCTACCTGAATCCACATCCAGGTAACAAAGAGCGAGGTGCAGTGGGGAGCTGCAGTTTTCCCCTGAGGCTGATGTATCAGAACACAACCAATGGTATTTGAAAGGGAGATCAACCCCCCTGACCAAGGACTTAGACCCCTCGCTAACTACCGGGGTAGGATGAGCCCTTCCTGTGGGACAGATTATCTCACACCCACTACTGCATGGTTCTGGCAGCTGGCACTGTCGGAACCCAGATACTGGCCTAGAGCGGCCTTGGGGCTGACCCAGCCTGCTCTTCTTGTGTTCCTACCAATCGCACCTACCCGCTGCGCTTTGGGGCTGACTTCCAATCAGATCAGAGTGCTGCAGGAGATGAAGTTCTACAAATAAAACTTCATTCTAGAGTCAGGGAAACTCCCTGCGAAATGGGGCTTTCCAGAGTCTCTTGACGTGGGGCCCTTCCCTTCAGCCAGCCCACGGTCCCACTCCTGAAAGCTCCTGGTCATTTTCCTTTGGAGGGGCACGATCTTCCCCGGGCCACAGGGCTCGGGAGAGAGGCGGGAGGGCGCAGCATCCAGCTGCCTGTTCAGAGCAGGCGAATCACCCTTTCTAGGGCTAGGTGGCACTGCGAGATAGACGCCAAGCACTGAACGCGGAGGGGAGGGAGCATACGCGGAGAATGACATGGACTTTGGACTCAGAAGGCAGGAAGCAGAAGGCCACTGATGAGGCTGCCAGCCTAGCAGGGTCTCTTTAATGGCTACACCTGAGCAGTTGGTGTAAACACATGTGCAGCGGCAGCTCCCAATGGCTCCAGCAGGAGATGCGTAAGTGCGAAGGCAGAGCGAGGCCTTGACTACGTCTCTGTGCTCCTGGCTCACACGTACTGCGCCAAACTCCATATTAAAGCCTTCCAGCTGCACAACTCCTTGCTTCCTGTTTAAATCCTTCAGCCCTCGGCCCACACACTGTCTGTCCCCAGCTCTACCGCTCATCAGAAAAATTCAGAATGTTGGCATCCTCTTCCCCCCAAATTGAAACAATGTCCAAAAAATTGCCATCAGCTTCCATCAGAGGATCATGCCCAGCAGTCACCACTGATCTGCAATGGGGTCAAACTGGTGACCAGCATCATAGCCCGTTACCAGCCCCTTGCACCATCCATCCTCCGTGGGTACAGCCCTAAATCCAGGACTGCACCCACTAGCCCCATGTCTCTGGGCTCACTCTCTAGCACTCTCCTGCTCATGGTTTGTTTGCTTCTTTTTATAAGCTGCAATCATTCTCACACGGACGCTGCTGATCACTTCCAGCATTGCTAGTGCTGGTGCATTTCTCTGCCTGCTGTTGGGATTTAAATATTTCAGCTGCTGTCAGGAACCTCTGGCTAAACAACAGTGGCTCTGCCTGGCTGCCGGACTCTTCTTCCTCGTAGGTACGTTCTCCCCCAAACTCTAAAATAAGAGCTGTTAAAACAAACGAACTCCCTCTAGGAGAGGCCATCCCAAGTCGTGAAGCTGGCTGGGATCCTGAAAGGGCGTGCGAGGTCAGTCAGCTGGGGCAGACCACACACATGTGCAAATGCACTCACACGTGTGCATGAATGCCCATGCATCTGGCCATGTGGGCATTAGGGATGGTCAGGAAATGATTTGGGTTTTTTCCCCATGAAAAAGTTTTCTATGAAAAATGTTGGGTTTTAATGTAAAAAACAAAAACTTTCCCTTTTCAGTTTCCACAAACAAAACAAACACAAATTTTAAAATCAAAATATTTGAAAATGATGTATATGGATATTTGCAAAACAACAACAACAACAACAACAAACAAAACAGTTGCTTTGGCCCAAACTCCCTTGCTTGATAAAAAAAACATTCATGGAAAAAATTCCAACCAGCTCCACTGGGGACTCCTTGAAAATGCTCAGGGAAGACACCTGGGATCATTCTTGAGAGTCCCTTTGGCATAGTCGCCTGGGATGGGGCAACGTGACATACCCAGTCCAGAGTTCTGTGGCTGCTGAAGATGGGAGCTCCCCTTTTCTGAACTGGGATTTCATGCTACTCATGGGGTGACTAGGTGACATGCTGCTACCCATCCCCTCAGCTCTCCCCATCCAGCTATAAAAGCAAATCTCAAACACCACGATTTTATTAAACAAATCAAGCCCAGGATGGCTATAGCCCCTAACACACAGCAGAATGGAAGGTTATAGGGCCCTTCACGGAGATGCAGGGATCTTCTACTGACTTAGCCTGACAGCTGGACCAGGTGTGTCCTATTAGCTCCAATTCTGGGCATAAGAAGGTTTGAGCCTCTCTCTCTCTGTGGCAGAGGGAACCAGAGTCAGGAACAGTGGGGTCCTGCAGGGACTAGCCACGCTTGGGAGCAAGAGCGGACAGGACGTTTATGTTTGCTGTTATTAAAGTTTAGTTATGGAGAAATCCCAGGCAGCGTGTGTGTGAATGTGTGTGTTCAGGGGGAAGTTGTGCCGTGCGATGCGTGTCTGTATGTGCATATGTGAGTGTGTGTGTGTTGTGTGTAGGGGGACGCTGTGCTGTGTGTGTCTGGATGTGCATGCAGGTGTGTGTGTGTAACCATGTTAGGAGCAAGGTGGAATGTCACTTGCTTACAAACATCATAAGAAAAAGCTGAAACCCCCAGACACATTTCTCAATGATCATTTACAACAAGATCTGAGGGCTGCTGGGGAGTTTCTTTTCTTTTTACCCTCTGACCTTTTGAAATCTCCACAGGGGCCTGGCACACATCAGGACCTACCCAAACTCACAGTGAACCATGGCAGCAGATGGGAGGTTTTGCTTTCTGGGGTCTACCCCATGCCTGCAGGAATCACAGAGTTCTCTGCTTTGTTTCAGGCATTTCAACCTCTGTTGGTGTCATAAGATACTGCGTGTATGTCTACTCCCTGCACCAGTACGAGGTACTGTCACCAGCAGCTGCTGTTCGTTATTTACTGAGTCCCCACGGTCACCTGGCACTTTCCATATACGTAGGAGACACAGCCCCTGCCCCAGGGAGCTTCCAATTGAGTTTGGAACCAGACAAAGCAATTCAGACCCAGGATCTGAGGGGCCACAAGGAGCTGGAGTTGCCATAGGGATAATGGTGTATGGGTCACATTTGAAAGGCTTCACAGAACGCTGATCCGCCCGTCGCTTTGATGAATGAGCTGGTTTCTGACTAACAGCTGTGTTGGTTTGGTGCTGTCAGAGAGAGATCTGTCTGCGAGGCTCCTACAGATCCCATTCGGGTCCCACCTTACTCAGAACAGAGGGCAGACCGAGAAGCGTTACTGACCCCACTCTTTGGGAGAGGCCCTAGGAATCCAGGATCACTCTATGAAACACAGGGCAAGCACCATGCAGTGCATTTCTATTTCCTTTGGGCCCCACCGCACTCTCCTTTAGGCCCTGGCCCCCTTAGCGAGCTAACTAGGGCTGTGGGAGTGTAACTGGGGACAGAATTTGGCCCTCAGCGAGTTCATCAAATTCAGCCAGTTGAATGAACGAGGAGCCTCACAAATATCATATGTGACAACAAACCACCACACTGGTGAAATGCTCCCTCAGCCAATCTGAGCCACCTCAGGACCTGGGCTCTCTACCTTTGCAGACATTTCACTGGTGATAGCTTTAACAGTAGGTGTCATTCGCCACCTTTATGCTGGAGCTAGTGGGGTAAACGTGACACATTTTCTATTGCTCACACTCAATTGTTTTGGCATTTTGCTTTTGTTTTACAGGTGTCTCTAAAAATCCCAGGATTCCCAAGCTTTGAATACGGCTACTCCCTATGGATGGCTGTGGGGGGCAGCCTAGGGGCTATTGCTGCAGCTGGTGTATCCTGTTATGAAGTCCTGTTTAAAAAAGATCCCAGGGCAAATGCAAATGCAGTGAAGGAAGTATCTGGGAGTGGGTGCACTGCTGGCATGGACATTGTGCGTACCTATGTGTGAGCGAGAAGAGATCTCCTGAGCCGGAGGACATCAGCAGTGTCACCGAAAGTCACAGCTTGGTGACGTTTGACACAGCTCTGTGTGTGGAAAGGCTGGGAGATCTGCTTTGTGAGCGTTTCTCAGATACTGGTTCCTAAGGATTAGGCTCAAGTAAGGGATACATTTGACAGGTTTCCCTGCTAGATTTCTAGAAATGTTTTTGGTATCTACAGTTAGATGGAACAGGCCGTGCAACTTCTCCCCAGATCTCCTGGCCCGTGTTATTCGCATATTGCTTTGGCCTGCTTTGCATGCAGTAAATAAGACGCCAAACTAAAGTTTGAGTCCAGGCAGGTAAAAGCGACTTGCTAATTCGGTGCTCTGGGCTGTCATATGGGCCAATAGAGACAATGTGATGTGAACACTTCGTCCATAGTGCCCAATATGTAATCACATTCCCTTTGTTTTAGCCTTTGAACACCCCATTTTCTGTACTGCTTTTGGAGGTTTTCCCCTACTTGGCATTGGAGGCCTCAGCTGGAGGCAGTTCTGGGCAGCACACTTAAAGAAAGATGGCGAGAGTACCCTGCAGAACCCCCAAAAACGATGCAAAGTTTAGAAAACCTGACCCACAAGGAAAGGTTCAAAAAATTGGGCACAGTCAATCTTGAGAAAAGACGGGGGGCACCCATGGGTGGCGGGTATAATAGGCTTTGCCTTCCCTGGCATTGCTGTTGACCCACCGCTGGACAACTGGGCCACGATGTCCCCGCCTCTCCTGAGACCCCCACCGCCTCCTCCACTCCATCCCCCGCCTCTCCTGAGACCCCCACCGCCTCCTCCACTCCATCCCCCGCCTCTCCTGAGACCCCCACCGCCTCCTCCACTCCATCCCCCGCCTCTCCTTGAGACCCCCACCGCCTCCTCCACTCCATCCCCCGCCTCTCCTGAGACCCCCCACCGCCTCCCCCACTCCATCCCCCACCCCGAAGGTCCCGGCTGCTCTCCACGTCCCTCCTCCTCGGGACGGGGGAGTGTGGAGTGATGTGGAAAGCCAGCAGCCAGCAGACTGAGGACGCTCGTCCAGACGCGCTGGGGCCGGTGGCTCGGGGCGGGGCCTTCAGGGGCGGGAGGATCTGGTGCTCGGGGAGGATGCTGGTGGCTCGGCTTGGCCCGGCCCGACTCTGGCGGGGGTGGGGACATCAGGGCCGGGGGGGGGAGGAGGCCAGCGGCTCTGCCCGGCGCTGGGGCCGGCCCGGTGCTTGCGGGGACCGGTGGCTTGGTCTGGTGCTGGGGCAGGCCCGGCGCTCGGTGGTGGGAGCGGAGGCTCAGCCTGGTGCTGGGGTGGGTCAGGGGGCTCGGCCGATGAGGTTGGGGCGGGCGGGCCAGGGCCCCTCTGGGACGGGGGAGGCTCAGGGCTTTTCCTTTTATGGGGGGGTGGGGCCTTGGGGCAGGGCCAGCAGGCTAGCCTCCCCAAAGCAGGGGTTCACCCACTGCCCATGGGGGCACCTGATAACGGTCTTTGAATTTAAGAGCTGTTCTAAAGAGGACGGTGATCAATTGTTCTCCATGTCCCCTGACAGACAAGTGATAATCAGCATAATCTGCACCAAGGGAGATTTCGGGCAGGTATTAGGAAAACCGTTCTAACCCTCAGGATAGCGACGCTCTGGAACAGGCGCCAAGGGAGGTTGTGGAATCCCCATCATGGAGGTTTTTAAGACCAGGCTGGACAAACCCCTACGAGGTTTACTAGGTCCTGCTGCAGCGCAGGGGCTGGACTTGATCTCTCGAGATTCCTTCCAGCCCCACATCTCTAGGATACACTTCGTGGTGCCACTCCGCCTCCGTCTGGGGGCGGAGACTGGGACAATAGAAGGGCACAGGGTGCTTTGCCTTCTTTAAAGAAAGTCTGATGCAAAGGGTGGTTGTTAGTCCTGGGTAGTGTGGGGAGCACTTTTGTGAGTATGGACATAATGTGTCATATAAACTGTGACACTGGCAGACCAGATGCCAGCTCATGCCAAGGTCCCCGTGCCTCCAGGGAGCCCTGACTTATAAATAGCTGGAGCCAGTCTGGCTCATCTGGGTGTTAGTATTGTGAACATAGGTATAAGAATCTGTTTAGAGTTTAGACTTTATTGAATGCTTGTGAGTTGCTTCCCGCGTTAATCTCCCTTATAACAGCTGTATCCCATACTGTAAGGTAACATTCCAGCTGTTGTACTGTGAAAATCTAAGTCACCAGACAGGAGAGAGACATTAACTAGTATGACATGCTAATCTGCAACAAACGGCACTACATCCTGCCCCACGGGAAAGGACCCTCGACGTCAGATGGACAGTTTGGGAGGATAAAGAGGACAAAAGATATTTGCCCTCCCCCACCTTGAAGATCAGTCATGCAAGTGGATTTCTTCCATCAGCTGATCTTGTAGCTCAGAGCACAAGGGAGGAGGGCGATAAAAACCCTAACAAGAAGGAACTATGTCTCGCTGCTGCTTGGACTCTGGGGGACGAGGTCTCTAGGCATAGGCAAGAGATCCCCAGCTGCTCAGCCTGTGTTAGCCCTAAAAGTCATATAGAGCTTGTTGATTCTCTAATTAGAGAAGCCACTATTATTATTTTTAATTAAGATTGTAACTCATTTGTGTGTGTGCCTTTACCTGCATTAACCTTGTCAATAACTCTCGTTTCCTTTTCCTACTTAATAAATCTTTAGATAGTTTATTATAGGACTGGCTACAAGCGTTGTCTCTGGTGGGGTAAGTGACTGATCCTTTGGGACTGGGAATAACCTGACCATCTCTCACAAAGGTAAGCTCACTTTCGTTGTGAGATAGACCGGAGTTTCCAAGGGGACTGTCTGTGACTACCTGCTCAGGCTGTTATAGTGCCTGAGGAGTTTACACTAGATCATTAGTTGGTGAAATCTAAGTACACAACTCATATCCATTTTGGGCTTCCGAACAGTCTGCCCTGCCATGGGACTCGCTCTTAAGTCACTGCGGGCAGCGTGACATGAACAAGCTAGGGAGAGCATCCAATGGCCAGCAGACCAAACGTCTCTTGTGTAATTACTCACATACCGCACCTGATCCGGGGTTACAGTTGGTTCAATGTTGCAAACCGGTTTTATGGGCAAGCCCCGAACAGCTGCTCAGTTTGGCCGTATCTCCTTCGCAAGCAGGGGTCTAGTCACATTCGGGTTGGAGGAAGGAGCTCTTGCAATCACACCCAAACTAGAATAGGCCACATGCTCCTCTGGGTGTGCAGCACCCAGCACATCGGGGCCTGATCCGGAGGGAGGCCTCTGGGTGCTGCCGTAACACAAAGAATCACCATCATAATTACCACTAGTCCCACGTGTCTTTATTCTGTTATAGAAGCTCTACGTTTGAGACAGGGAACATGGACACCATTCTGAGGGCAGCAGCCACCAGATGGCACCCGTACAAATAGCTTTCATCTCGGTGTGGGAGCAGTGCACAATCTTGGATGAAAGGTTGTGTTGTTGTGAGTTTTGTGATGTGATTTCTTTGGGGGAGCTGTGGCAAACAGCAAGGGAGTTTGCTCTCTGCTGTAATCACTCTAGCCAGAGCAAGTTCTTGGGGCAGAGTTGTTTCTTGGGAACCAGGCCTTGGTGTTGGGCTGAGGTTTCTGGCAGGGGGGTTTGCTGGTGCGTTTGTGACTTGCTCTGTTCTAGGACTGGTGTATCTAGACTACATCAAGAAAAGACCCCAACTCCCCATCACTGATTCCTCCTTCAATGGGACACCGCTCTGCAAGGCCCTGACGTCTGTAACCCACAATACCATGTGACTTCAGTGACCAGTCACATATCACCAACAGTGTAGAGTGGAAGGGTTGTGGTTATAGGCAGGAATCGACTTGGGCCATTTGCAGAGACCAGGGTGGGCTAGCAAGCAGGGAAAGGGCCACAAAGCCACTGGGGTAGGGCCAGTGTTGGCTCCCGGGCAACAGCCCTGCAGGGGATGGACTCTAGTGTCAGAGGCACACGGATACGCTTGCCACTGTGCGCTTCCAACACACCCTTGGCCCCTGCTAGTCACTGGGGCATCTCCCCTCCCCACAGCTCCCGCCAGGAATTGCCTGGGGCCCTTCTGCCAGCCCCGATGCTGCATGCCCGGAGTCCAGTGACTCTAGCCAGGTCCCCAGGCAGCCAGGAGCCTCGGCGGAGTTTAACCCCTTCCTGGCCCTGGGGATTAGCAGTGGGTGGGGGTCAGCAGGAGGAGCTGGGCGGGAAGCGCAGGGGAGGGGAAGATCACAGCGACTCCTGCGATTCCCCAGACAGACACCGAGGGAAGGAGGAGCCGTCCTGGGGGTGGGATCGCTGCGAGCTCCTGCCGCCGCCTGGCTGCTGTTCCCCAGAGTCCGGAGGCAGGGAGCGGGGCGGCCGCTGGAGTCTGACCCTGGGGGGAGGGAAGTGCCAAGACCAGGGGCCATGCTGCGCTGTGCGCCTCGGAGTCCCCGGGAGCCCCAGCCAGCCTGACAGCCGGAGCGAGAGACCCCGCAAGGCGCAAGTCCCCGGGCAGGAGACGCCACGGACAGCTCCTCGGGGCGCAGCGCAGGAGGGGTCCTGGGGGGCGCAGGGCAGGACAGGAGGGGTCCCGGGGCGCAGCGCAGGAGAGATCGCGGGGGCGCAGGACAGAAGGGGTCCGGGGGGCGCAGCGCAGGAGGGGTCCCGGGGGGCGCAGGGCAGGAGGGGTCCCGGGGCACAGATCTCGCAGTGCCCGGCCGGCAGCTCCTTCCCGGGGCTTGCTGGCAGCGGCCCCCTCCCGGGAGCTAAGCGCTTTCCGGCGGCTCGGCGCTCCGGGCAGCCCCATGGCGCCCCCGGGCTGGTGAGGGGCCGGCGGCTCCGGCTCCCCCGGCCGAGGAGATGGCCCTGGAGCGGGCTCTGCTCGCCGCTCGCCAGGGGGACGTGGACACCCTGAAGTCCCTGCAGGCGGCGGGGCTGCTGCGGCCGGGGCTCCGGGACCCGCTGGGCGCCTCGCCCGCTCACCACGCCGCCCGGGCCGGCAAGCTCAACTGCCTGCGCTACCTGGTGGAGGAGGCGGCGCTGCGGGGCAATAGCCGGGCCCGCAACGGGGCCACCCCGGGCCACGACGCGGCGGCCACCGGCAACCTGGCCTGTCTCCAGTGGCTGCTGACCCAGGGAGGCTGCTGCGTTCAGGTGGGCACCGCGCGCGGCTCCCCTCCCCGGGCTCAGCCAGGCCTGGCGCAGGTCCTAGCCCCAGCCCAGCCCTGCCTCCAGGGTCCCCGGGGCCGCCTGCTGTGGGGGTGACTGGGTGCTGGGGCCTCTCGCCTGGCAGGGCCCAGGACCAGCTCCCCGCCTGCAGTGGGATGGGGCTGGGCTGTGCCCTCTCGCGGAGGACATGCGGGTGAGCAGTGCCCCTCTGGGCAGGCAGCCGCGCTGGGTACATGTCACCCAGGGCTTGGGACTGGCCTGGCGCTCCCGGCTGCCCCATGGAGCTCTCGGATGGCCGCAGACAAGGCGAACGTAACAAAAGCTGGATTAAGGGGAGCAGGCCCTCTCCTGCCCTGAGCTTCTGCAGCTGCCCTGGCAGGCAGGGTGGAGACTGACCCAGCTGGGGCGTGTGTGTCTGGACACGGGATTGTTCACCTTTGTCTTTGAGGAATGGGGTCACCTGTGTCGGAGAAGCTGGTTTCCACAAATGCAAGAGGGCTCTGACAGGATGGTCCCTTGCTGGCTTCCCTGCCCCTCTCCCCCCCAACCCCCCCATCGGTAGCATCAAAGAGCTGTTTCACCGGGGCCTGTCATGTCCACCTGAAGGAACACAGTTAGCTCCCTTGTGCGGGGCTTGGCCTGGAGCTGACAACTCTCCACGGGTAGGAGAGCAGTGGGCTGAGTTTGAGGCCAGGACCTCCCACACACAGCCCCTTTGTGGCCTTGGGCACTCGCTTCCCCTTTCCAGGCCTCCACTTCCTTCCACCTGCCTCCCAGGGCCTGTCGGTGCCAGGCTGTGTGCCATGTCTCCAGCCCCAGGCGTTGCTGAGGTGGGAGGATGGTCCTGCTCCTCAGGCCCCACATGCTGCCCTTCACTTTGGTGCTGGATTCCAGCCCTGACCTAGACAGAAGGATGGATGATGTCTGGGTGACGCGTCGTCATTTGCATTTCTCAAGGCCCTGGCCCAGGCAGAGACACAGCCGGGTCCAGGAGCTTGCGCTCTGAATAGCCAAGGCA